TATGGCTATGTATGGCTATGTAGGGCTATGTAGAGCTATGTAGGGCTATGTATAGCTATGTATGGCTATGTATGGCTATGTAGGGCTATGTAGGGCTATGTATATGGCTATGTATGGCTATGTAGGGCTATGTAGAGCTATGTAGGGCTATGTATAGCTATGTATGGCTATGTATGGCTATGTAGGGCTATGTAGGGCTATGTATAGCTTTGTATGGCTATGTAGGGCTATGTACGGCTATGTAGGGCTATGTAGGGTTATGTATGGCTGTGTATGGCTGTGTGGGGCTATGTAGGGCTGTGTAGGGCTATGTAGGGATATGTAGGGCTATGTAGGGCTGTGTATGGCTACGTATGGCTATGTATGGCTATGTAGGATTATGTACACTGCTTCTAGTAACTAACGGGGAACCACTATATGATACTTACACCACGTACCTACCGTCTAGGCTCAATTAGCCGCTGTTCGGGAAATGAGCCCGCGCTCCTCCCCCGAGAGCGGCAGAAATCAAACCTATCAACAATCTCACACAAAAAAAAAAACAAAAAAAACACACACAATAGCGCTTTCCAGTATAACTAAAAATAGGTTATTTGTCACCTTAAACCCTGGCGTGACTCAGACAAACTTCGCATTCTACTCCAAAGTTTTGTATGGGAAACATGCATTTCGGACATGAAGAAAAATGTTCATAAAATTCGCAGCGAGCGTTTTTAAAATGTTTTTTGAGCTCAATAATTAAGCTCAAAAAACATTTTATTCCAATATATAAAAGGTACTACTGCTATAGGGAGCAAAACCTGGTCCAGAAACTCAAATAAATGGTTAAAATCAGAAAAATAAACCGACTCGATCAAAGAAGGCTACTGAAATCGGATCCCTAGCTCTGTGTCTTAGGCAGAAAACACCGCTATGCACTGAAACATGACTTTACATTATTGGCAGTGTAATAATCCAAAACCGAAAATGCTAAAGAGAAAATCGAGTTTGGATGTGCCCAAACACCTGGGTTACATCTAGCTTCATCTGCTTGTACAACATGACAAACGAAATACTGTAAACACTCACAGTGTACAAATTAGGTCCCACTGAGGTTGAGCGAAACCTTTAATCATTGTTCAGAACTGCTGATGCAAAGGTACTTTCCTCCATGAGGGGCTTGTCATAGAACCGATCAAATGTCCCAGAAGAAGACCAAAATTTGTGACGTCATTGGTGGAAAGTGCTATTTCGTTGCNGCTATGTATGGCTATGTATGGCTATGTAGGGCTATGTAGGGCTATGTATAGCTTTGTATGGCTATGTAGGGCTATGTACGGCTATGTAGGGCTATGTAGGGTTATGTATGGCTGTGTATGGCTGTGTGGGGCTATGTAGGGCTGTGTAGGGCTATGTAGGGATATGTAGGGCTATGTAGGGCTGTGTATGGCTACGTATGGCTATGTATGGCTATGTAGGATTATGTACACTGCTTCTAGTAACTAACGGGGAACCACTATATGATACTTACACCACGTACCTACCGTCTAGGCTCAATTAGCCGCTGTTCGGGAAATGAGCCCGCGCTCCTCCCCCGAGAGCGGCAGAAATCAAACCTATCAACAATCTCACACAAAAAAAAAAACAAAAAAAACACACACAATAGCGCTTTCCAGTATAACTAAAAATAGGTTATTTGTCACCTTAAACCCTGGCGTGACTCAGACAAACTTCGCATTCTACTCCAAAGTTTTGTATGGGAAACATGCATTTCGGACATGAAGAAAAATGTTCATAAAATTCGCAGCGAGCGTTTTTAAAATGTTTTTTGAGCTCAATAATTAAGCTCAAAAAACATTTTATTCCAATATATAAAAGGTACTACTGCTATAGGGAGCAAAACCTGGTCCAGAAACTCAAATAAATGGTTAAAATCAGAAAAATAAACCGACTCGATCAAAGAAGGCTACTGAAATCGGATCCCTAGCTCTGTGTCTTAGGCAGAAAACACCGCTATGCACTGAAACATGACTTTACATTATTGGCAGTGTAATAATCCAAAACCGAAAATGCTAAAGAGAAAATCGAGTTTGGATGTGCCCAAACACCTGGGTTACATCTAGCTTCATCTGCTTGTACAACATGACAAACGAAATACTGTAAACACTCACAGTGTACAAATTAGGTCCCACTGAGGTTGAGCGAAACCTTTAATCATTGTTCAGAACTGCTGATGCAAAGGTACTTTCCTCCATGAGGGGCTTGTCATAGAACCGATCAAATGTCCCAGAAGAAGACCAAAATTTGTGACGTCATTGGTGGAAAGTGCTATTTCGTTGCATTTTTTGACACTGACCAAGAGCCATACTATGGCTCTTGCACTGACTTAATGGAGTCTGCTATCAACTTTGGAACTAAAAAAGGTACACTGCTTATCTGACTGCAGCCGAAACACATCGAACACGAGCTTGAAACGTTAAACGAAAGTCCTGCTCCTGAATGGACTCTTGCATTGGTCACTGAGACTTCGCTGGCGTGAACCTCTCGGTTTAATGACGAAGCGCCAATGAATT